CTATTATACATCTCCTAAAGTTGAAAGCTTCTTCAATGAAAACTTATAGAATATCAAAAACTTCTGAAAATCAGTCTCGTTTAAACAGTTACCGAAATAGAAATAAATGTGTTGCTGAATTACGCAAAGCCAAACAACAATATTTTAAAAATCAAATTATTTCAGCCAGTAAGAATCCAAAAATATTATGGGAAACGATTAAGTCAGTGACAGGTGAAAGTAACAATAAAACATTTAATAACAATTCACAAATCTCAGTAAATGGACTTGTGGATTGTGATGCTGTAATTCTGAGTATTTTATGTGCTGCAGAACAGGAACCTGCTGTAAAACAGCAATTATGCTGAGTCAGGCTTGATTTTTAATAATCTTTTCCTGTTGAATAAATAAAATCAAAAACAAGTTTTAGCCCAAATATTACAGACTTGAACAAATACGCACAAAAACATCAAAATTAGCACAGAAACAGCACTATATAACATTTTAGACACATTCTAGACAGCTTATCAGCTAAAAAAAAGTAAATTTGGGGTAAATTACTCTAAGACATTTTGGAGACTCCCTCTTGAATGCTATTGGCCAACTACTCACCAACAATCGCAGCCCATTGACATACCATCTTAAGTGACCATCACATTGAATGGAGATGTGTAGCAGGAGGTTTGTGAAAATGGATTACTTATATCCCATAAGTCTCACAGCACAAAGTAGACCTAATTACACCTGCCACTTTGTTAAGGTGCCCTTCTCTCCATCTGTTCCCTGTATGGGTGCTGAGGCTCAAAGATGCACGCACACAACAACAGTAGCCTTTCAAACAGCGGACAGACAGACAGACAAAGGTAGGTCAAGGTACATTTTCCCATCTGGGTGTGCCTTTGTCTACAAGAAGAGTTAAACATTTGAAACAGCATTGAAGAGTGCTGAAAGGACATATACTGTGACTCAAAGTGGCCAGATGACTGCAGACACGAATACAAAGAGCTGGACATCGGTCCAAGCCAAAGAAACTGCTCATGTCCTGACCCATGAATGGCCTCTGACGCTCTGTATGCAGACAGTTAAAACACAAAGCTTAAACTGCTAATTTCTATGCATTTATTCATGAGTTTGTACAGGTCTGTGTGAAAGCYAACAGTACTTGAGAAAAGAAGCTGCTTGGCGATAATCTGTCACTTTAATGAAAAGCGCAGCGGCTGCATGTGATGTGTGGATGATGTATTGTGACCAAATGTGGATAAATCAGCACCTTCTACAGTTACATTTTTGAAACCATGATGCCTTGCATCAATTGAAATAGATCAATGGAGGAGAGAGTCCATGCTCCTCTTTTGTCTTGAGCTCACTGAAATGATTTAATAATCCTTACAATTTTTTTCTTTTCTTTTTTTTTTTTTTTTGCTTATGTCATGTCTGGGGGAAAAGTATCAAGGAGAGGCAGTCGGTGAAGTGAAGACAAAGCAAAGTCAAAAAGTAGACTGAAGAACTTTGGAGACATGGGAAGTCATCTTATGTAATTGACAATGATATGAACAGACAGATATGTGAAAGAAGAAAGAAAAAGCACAAACACAATCTTCAGGATACAGTTAACCCACAGTGGAAAGTATCAAAGTCTATATGAGGCTAAATCAAAAAGGAAAGACTCCAACAGCAGATTCCACGGGAGTATCCCTGCCTCAGGAAACTTCAGTGGCTCAATCTCAGTACTAGCATTTCATAAATGCTTCTCATGTGAGCAGACAGAACGCACAAAGTTGGAATCAAACAAACTTCTTTTTCTTAACCCTACTTTTTTGACTTTCATTTTAAGTTCACATTTTTTCTAGCTTCATCCTGTTGATGCTCCACTGCACAACACCTGAAAGACACTGCGAGTTAAGTCTAAAACTGTTAGTTTTCTTTTAAGACTATTTGAGCCTATAACAAAGTGACTTAAAGGATGTGCTGATTACTGACTTGTATGGGTCAAGGGTTCACTACTGTATAAAGAAACAAACAGCTCCTGAATTTGACTTGACACATGCATAAAGCTTTCCAATAACTAAGGATATCCTGTCTTTATTAGGTGATGGGTTCTATGACTTATTGCAAGTTTAAAGCTGCAGGTCAGAAGTATACTAGAGATGTAAGATTAGGCACCACTGAAAACATCAGAAATAATTGCACCTATAAGAGAAATCTGCTTCACTTTATTCGCCAAAACAGATCAGACAGGGAAGAAGCCAGGATATCCTCTGCCCCCCCCCGGCTTGTGCTGTATAAACAGATGTGAAGACACTTCCTCTCTGTCAAATAGAGCAGGGAAAAAAGTGCAGTTGTTTGACTTCCTTCACATTACAGCGATACACCAGCTTGGGAAACAGTCAGGCTGTGATAGGACCTTTCAGACAGTGCCTGAAGAGATATTTTCAGAGGGAGACAGTTAAAAAGCTATGGCTTCTGTATAGATTCAATAAGGATCTTACACCTGTGTGGCTAACCACCATCGATCCATCATTCTGTGGAGCCCGATCCAATTTAGAGAGTTGAGGAGCTGCAGAGCCCCACAGCCTTATCCTAACCCAGGCCACAGCCACCGCAAAGCCTGCTTACCTTCATCCCCTAAAGTCAGCGGGTGTGTCCGTGTGCTTCTATGGGTATGTGTATGTGTGCTTACAGAGTCTGCAAACCAAGCCAAACACCTTTGCTGCTGGCTCATGTTAAAGTGTGCTTAGACGCTTTAGGGCAAGGCCTGAGAGGAGACAAGAGTCAGAAGAAGCTGAGAAAGTGCCAGCCACTGAAGCACAAGCCTTAACTCAGACCAAGCATTGGGGAGAAAAATCTATTTGGGTTTAACAAACACTGAAGTATACCAGAGGTTTTTAATTTAATTTTAATTTCATGTAAATCACACCATTGTTGGGTTCAAACTGACCATTCAAATCTTGTCCTTTCTTCACTAATTACAGCATCTGACACAGATGTTTGTCTTTTAATTGTCTTCCCTACTTCACTGGAGTGCATCAAATCCCCTGAAACATATTACTAAAAAGGTATTTAAACATAGTGGAGGGGTTGTAGAAAAGTGGAGAGAAAAATCTGTTTGTGCTGCTGACTAACTTCATCACCTCCCAACTAAACAAAGAGAATCGTGTGACTTTCACTCACTTCAGCGACTAAACCCAGGGCAATTAAGGCCTAAATCTCTGTAGGAGTAAAGGAGAGAAAGGAAATGGGGAGAAGTGGTGAGGCAGGAGCAGAGGAGAAACTCCATACCAATAACAGGCAATTATGTACGGGGAGGGCCACTGCCTGGCCATGAGAGTATAGAAGAAGACAGCGGGGATATGGGATGGTAGGGAAATGAGGAGGAGTGTTATTTAGGAGGCAGATGGCAGAGAGGGGGGAAATTAAGATGAATGGGCACTGAGAGGGCTGAGCTGGTGCTGGGGCTGGGCAGAGAAAAGTAATTAGCTGTGGTTGCTCTGGGAGGCTGGCAGTGAGTGTGATGCCTGCAGTGACAAGCAAAAGCCTTGAGCTTTATTAGACAACAAGGCCGTGTCTGAAGCTGCCAGCAGGGGGCAGCTAGGTCAGCAACCTTTCAGTACCTCGTACCTGCTCAACACACTGTGGGGGTCTTATCACAGAGTCAACACTAAGCAGAAGCTCCTTTTTGGTGTACACTGATTTTTTTTTAACTTTAATCAGCTCTTAATAAAACATTTTTCTGGCTTGTCCTGATGCATCTCGGTAATCCAGGCAGAAAAAAATCGAAAAGAAAAAATAAGTAGGTCCTCTGGATGGGTTCTTCTTTAGTGAAATGTTTTGTCTCTCCTCCAAGAGACTTCCTCAGTCTGATGAGTTTCAGACTTTGTGAACAAGGTGAGGGATGTCATCATGGAGACAGATGAAACTATGGTCTCCTTTGATGTCACATCACTCTTTCCATTTTCACTCTTTCCACCATTAAACAGAGGTGGAGGCCTTCGTGTCCAGTTGTCCTCCTCCTACAATGCTGTTATTGCAAGTATGACTCCGCCCCCTGCCAGCAAAAGGTGTGAATCAGGGCCACAACGATACCCAACACAAAGAGGGAGAGAGGGACACAAACAAGGGGACGTCGAGCCCTGCTTGCACTCACTACATACACATAAAACAACACCAAAGAACCACAGCCGAAGCACCCAAACCAATAAGTCAGGTGATGGGGCACATGACCCTCTATGAAAAATAGAGCTAATTAGGCCTATTGTTAGGCGATGGCCCTCTTTTGCATGTGACTAAGCTGTTTGTCCATGTGGAGGTGGAGCTTCTAAGGCTGAGTTTACCTGAAACTCATCAGACTGAAGAAGTCTCTTGGAGGAGAGACGAAACGTTTCACTAAAGAAGAACCCATCCAGAGGACCTACTCATTTTTTCTTTTAGATTTTTCTGGCTTGTTTCATCTTATATRCCCCATCTCTCTCTCACAAACATGCACTCACATTTTCACACTAAAAACAAGGGGGCAACTGGGTCCAGTCTTTTTCTCCCACGTTATTGCATGATCTCACCCGTAACAACTGGCTCTCTTCTTCTTCCTCACACCATTTCTCTCCATTTCTACTGTTACKGTCACATCTATCTGTCTCTTTCCTCCCACCCCATATATATATATCCTTCCCTCATGTCCCTTTCCAATCTAATTCCAGATATGCTGCTGCAGAACAACAGAGCAAGGCCCTTTATCATCGCCATCAATGATGTGGGTGGATTGAGCGTGAATAATTTTATTCATGTGTTCTTGCACCCAGCCCACTGAGATTCCAATTACAACTAATAAGAGGTAATAGAGTAACAAAATCCCCGTTTCCCCAGTGCCTAAGTACGTTTAGCTGTAATAAAACTTTTAATAAAGAAGCTAAAACACAGAAAACAGAAAATCTGTGTTTCCCAAACAGTTCAGAATCTTTTTTTATGGTACTATCTCCTTGGCTGTGACTACTAAGGATTAGTTGGTGATCAAAATTGCAAGAACATTGTGATAAAATTTACAAGTTTTCAGATGCAGTCTCCCTAAATTCTGTGTTTTCAAACAGTTTTTTTTAATATGGCCTATATTTGTGTGAATGTCTTTCAAAACTGTATTTTTAGATAAAGTGCTTTATTTCCTTGCCCACATTGTTCCCACCTCAGCCTTTTTGTACCCACCTTGTATCCACATGACTCTTACCTTCAGACACCACAAAGGTTTTGAATAAATCTACTGGAAAACAGATTTAAATCAGTATTTCAGTAATTATTTATCTGCATAGTTTTAGACCTTGTTTTTAGAACTGTCAAAATACAGCTCTAGCGCTCTAAAATGAGATGGGCACGAGATGTCTGCAACAATTCTGAGACTATTTGGAGAGAAAATTTGTTTTGCGTTCAGAAAATGCACACAAGGTGGGAAAAAAAGGCAGAAAAAAGGAACAGCGACAACCAAAAATGTACAGAATAGACAGAAAGTAGGACATATGAACTGCCAGCAGAATTTGCATTGCGACACGTCAGACTTCATCATTGCTGATTATAGACAGCTGATAGAGGACAGAGCTGAGCATGCTGGAGGCTTTAAGTGAGTGGGTATAAAACCATTTGTTTTACCATAGTTAACAGGCCTGAGAACCTGGCGGAAGGAGCCGGGGCTGATTGTCTGCTGGTGGTTATCTGTAGGAAGTGCACCGAACAAATAATGCTAACACATAAGTGATAAGATAATTACCCCCCTTAGAATTACTTTTCAGTTTGTTAACAACAAAAAATAATGTTTGAGGGCTCAAATCAAAATATACAAATGACAGAATCATTTGTATATGATTCTGTCATTTACAAATGACAAACCCTTGTTGTAACAACAAGGGTTTGTTGATAAAATCTTGGACTTCTATGTTTAGAGTTTGCAATGACAGATAAAAAGTTGATATTCAGAACTTTTTGCATGTGAGTATGACTGTACAAAACATGAGTATGCCTATATTTAATTAAAATAGTTTTCAAACAAAACAGGAAAAAACAAATTAGGCACAGAATAATTTCACAGATCTTTCAACATGTCTTGATTAAATCACTTAAGTGTATATTTGTGTCTAAAAGTTAAATATGAGTCTTACCTTTAGATCTTGGGACTCTCTTCCTGCGGTCTCTGAATGCAGCTCCGGACTGCAAGGCTTCCAGCAAACTATCCATGACACCTGTCTCATCGTTCTCTGGCAGAAAAAAACGACACAAAAAAAGAACAACACGAGATTTTAAATTCTCTCCCGTTAAATGTACTGTATATTTGTTCAGTACTGATGTTTTACTTGCTGGCAACAAGTAATCGACAGGTGGCAAATAAAACATAAAATCCCCAAAAAACTCGGTCACAACAWGCTTCAGCYTCCAGTGGTTAGCCTGGTAAAAACCAGCCCCTTGTTCTTCATTATGCATCGTACAGAAGAGGGAAACTAGAACTGAGCGGAACTGCGTAGGAAGGCAAGGGCCAGGCTATACAGTGGTATTCCTCCAAATGAAGTCATTCTACTGCTGGGTGAATTAGCTTGTACAGGAACTATAGCTGCGTTTCCATTGCAAATGTGCGCAAAACTGCTAATATTCTGTTAATGTGGAAAAACAGTTTCGCAACTGCAGTGTTTCCATTAAGTAAGAAATGCTATTAAAAGCACGCGTGAATATGTTTGTTCTCGCGATAAGTCATTACAAACATGGCGGTGAAGGATGTAAACACATAGCATGTTGCTACCACYACACTAGCGCTCATCATCAGAGGAGACATCTGCGTCTTTTATCGAGGCTTTCCAGCGTCAAGCCCCTACTTGGGAGCGGCTACGTATGCTGTGTTTTTGGGAAACTGTGGTCGGTGAGTTTACTATTTTATACTACTTCTGTGAAAAATACTACAACTTTTACTTCCTGTTATCTTCTTCYTCGTCATCTTTTTCGCCTGTAGAAACAGCTGGTTTTTGATCACGTGACTCCCGTGATGCGAAAAAAGTGTTTCCATTGCAGTTTTGCTAAAAACAACAATTTCGATATGGCCGAAAAACCACCTCATCCTAGCGCTAAAACATTTTGTCGAAAAACAATTGTTTTCGAAATTGACGTATATCCATTGAGCAAATTTATTTTCAAAATTCTAATTTACGCATTTTCATGGTCAATGGAAACGCAGCTTATGACCACTACAGACATCTAACCTGCAAACTTCTGTTTGACCTTTTGTCATGCATGAAGCAAACCTACTAAAACAGTCTATCAACACCACATCTTGACTTTAACACTTCAGGATAATGGAAACTCTGTATTGAGGGCAGTGTGTTCCTCTTGGTGACACACTACTGTTGGATTAAACCCCTACACAAAGCTGCAACCACACACACACACACACACACAC